GTCCCACAAGACATTTTCATTGGAAAGAGCAAAATTGCGTTCGCGATCAGCTGAACTGCTCAAGATGCAAGAATAACATACCGTAATATAAAATTGAATAATACGCTCGAATTTTGAATAAACATTAACATTCCCCGCGAGTAACAATGCTGACGGCATTGTATTTCCGGCAAAATAATCGGGCAATCAGACGAGAAAGATCAGAAGAGAAAGAGACATCACCGTTGCGAAGGGAGGGCGGGAGGGGGGGGGGGAGGGGAAAGGGAAGAGAGCATTAACGTCCCGCCGATATCCCTAAGTACCAAAGTATACGTTGAGATAAAAAAAAAAAAAAAGAGGGTACGATACCCGTCTTAACGTAACCCGTATAAAACCCGTACTTAACGTATCCGTTAATATCGGGCCCGGAGAAGAACGAGGAGGGACCGCGCGCGCTTGACGCGCGAGTCACGCGGAGATCGCCTTCCACTCGTCGTTCCTTCCTCTCTTCGTACCTTCCCTTCTTTTCTCCGACATCATTTCGACATTACCGAATTGTCCGACTAACGCTGCCAGGACCGTTACGCGCCCGTTGCCCCCTCCCCCCCCCTCCTCTCTCTCTCTCTCTCTCGTTCGCTCGCTCGCTCGCTCGCTCTCGCTCTTCCTCTCGAACATTATAATTTATAAAGCGGCACGACAAGCCGATCCATTTGGTGCGCGCACAGAAATTGATTATCCATTTGACCCGCCGGATCGAGACATCGACTGGGGATCGATACTGGCAGTCATAGATAATGCCGACAACTTGTTTATTTTCTCCCCTTTGCTCGCCCGCGACGACGTTTCGCCACGGCGACGGCGTCTTCCGTGCTCGAATACGAAACGACGTCTGTATTCTCGGGCGATCCGTGTGATACCTCGGCAATCGCCATTTACGATTCGACGAGTAACGAGACGAACGACGACGAGCGCGACCGCGCGGGTCGGGAGCGACGCGGAGAGCGGGAACGGTACGTCACGCAAAAATGCCGTGAGATATCTATCGGTTAGATTTATAGAGCCGTCCTCGTGTATCTGTCATAACACGCTGACATTAACGGAATGACGGTGCATTTAGTCGAGGCCCCGGCGATGTATCAAGCGAAACACAGCTTAGTTAGTTAGTTGATATTAAGACAATAAATATTCCACGGCATGAATTTCTCCGCTCGCAGGCGGGACTTTACTTTTTGTTTTATTTATGTCATTTAAGTTATATATCGCGCTGCATTCCTCGTACGGCGTTCAACGGGGAGTTTCCTTTAAAACGGCTGTTCTTTCTCAGGATTCACGGAGAGTGGCGTTCTTTTCTTGATTAGCGAAAGACAAAGGGGGGTTAAATTTCTTGCGAAATATCTCTCGTGGTTCTCTCGTGACTAACGTAAAATTTCGATTGCAAGAAACGTAAAATTTCGATTGCAAGATACATCCCTCGTGCGTCGGCGAAGATGAAGAGCTCCGCCGAGTTATAAGTTGACCATCTCTTTGCCGTGTAATAACGCGCTTTGTCCGGGCCCCAAGGCACGATATTAAGCATTCCAGGGCAACGATGCAATAATGCGGGGCTATCCGTTGCATAGGAGCTAAAACAGGAATGGTACGAGCGAATTTAAAATATTCGCCGAAGATATTGCCCCGATCACGGTTACGCACGCAAATATATATACATACACATATACATGCAGAGAGAGAGAGAGAGAGAGAGAGAGAGAGAGAGAGAGAGGC